AGGCAGGTTCCTTGCACTAAATAGTGGTGTGAACCTACATCTACTCCTCTTCTTGATCTTTTGTCCAGTAGGCTGCGTCTCCACTTTCTTTACATGGAGATGAAGTCGATCTGATTTTTAGTGTGTCCTGGTGTCTGAGGAAGTCCATATCGCTTTGTGAATATCTTTATACATGTACACACTGCTTCCAATCACCAAATCGTTGAATGCGCAGAAGTGTGCAAACAGTTCTCCATGCTCGTTCATTTTACTGAGTGCTTCTCTACCCATGACGAGTTCTCTTCCTGTGTTGTCCACTCCCCACAGTTTGGCATTCATGTCACCCATTAGAATTTTGATATAATTGTGGCCATCTGGGTTGGGGTCTTGTTGATTACTGATTGCAGTTGTTTATAGAATTTCTCCTTCTTCTCTTCATCTGCATTATTTGTAGGTGCGTAGCATTGAATGATTGATTTTCCTTCCTTTTGAGTTGAATCTTGCTGTCACGATGCTGGAGGAGATTGGTTCCCACTGTATGAGAGCCTTTGATGCTCTTGGAGACATCATGATAGCCACTGGAAAACTCAGTGTGCTCGTGGTTGTCGTCTGGGTGACAATATTGGAGTAGATTATTGACTCTTCAGTTAAGAGTTCCGACAGTTCATTTGCATTCCATCTGCTTTCACAGAATCCAAACACTTCCATGCCATACCTCCTCATCTCTTTGGGAATCTGAGCAGCCTCGGTGGGTTCATACTTCGTGCGGACATTCCATGCCCTTATGCTTACTTTCGCTTTCATCGAGAGGAGACATATCGGCCGACTGGCTTCCCGAAGGCTTTCACCACCTGGCATCATTTCTTCCCTCCGATTCCAGCGAGGAATAAGTTTGTTTTTATTTCTTATAAATTCTTTGTGCTTTGAAGTTTCTGTACCGGTTGAATTGGTTTTACGGGTTGGGTTGCTAGCCCTATGCCCAACCTTCCATCTTTATCTGGGATTAGGGCCGGCTAGTAACTAATGAACTATTTAACCAGGCAAGGTTCATATTTGTGGAGTTACATTATTTTCATGCTTACGTTCGAAACCCAGAAGTAAGTACACTTATTGGCCTCATTGTCCAAGGAATATAGACGAAATGCTAAATTGCTCTTCTAGTACGTATTAGGTCTAAATTGCCAATGATTTAATGGACCACCTGAGGTTGTCTTGCAAATTGTTCGTAATCTTTTGCAGGGAACAAGGGCAAACTGTATTCCTTTCATCCAGAACACCTGTAAACTATTTGTCCTTAAATTCATCACTTTCGAGCAATTGGCTTACATAAAATGCGGTTCTATCACATTCATCGTAAGAGTTGAATAGGTGAGGAATTATAACACCTAAATCTTTCATCATTAGTGATGTTTTCAGCTGTATATAGTTTATTTGGATGAAATTTTATCCCTATATAATCAATTTTTCAAATCAGTTCAAATCATCATGGTTTTAATTTCTCTTCACATTTGCATGTAGGGGAAGAATTTTAAAACGACACATGTGCAAGCAAATCATTAACGCAAATTAAAGAGAATACACCTTATAACTGAACTCTAAGGTGCTCTAGTACAGCACATCGTAGTCCATCTGAAACCTAATTAGGCAGTTTAAATGTGTGTAACCTAGTCTAACAGACCGGCCAAGTGCATCTAAAATACAGTTGTAATACAAAGAAAACCTGTAAATGGATTCACCTGGAGACCGGTCGAAGTGGAAACAGAGTGAAGTGTAGCGAGCGGAAGTACACCGCAGAAGGTACTCCAAGATCAGGAAAGTTGCAACCAAACTGAGAATGGCTATGTGCGCGGTTATGCAGTGGCATTGCGCAGTTAAAAAGATATAGGAAGGGGATAAGTCAAAATGTACAAGTACCATTCAACTTCAGAAAAATAGGTCCAGTGTCACCGAGAAGCGGATTTGAACAGAATCAGAGAAGGCAACTTTAAGGTGATCCGGATAACTAGAGAAACGAGTGTTTAGGATTTTTAAGGAATGTATTTGATAAACGCTACTCATAAGAATGCATATCGGCAGTAATCATATCAACGTTAGAAAATACCATAAGTGATAATGATCATCTGAAGACTCTAGAGGAATAAAGATAGAATGTCAAGTAAGTACAGGAAAGATAAGAACACGACACTGCATACTGTTCACCAATTTGACTTCATTATTATGGTTTATTATTTCTTCTTCATTACCGATTGTAATTTTCTCACATAATATCTGCTGTCCCATCCCGCGTCTTTCAGTAATAGACAATGCATCGGGGATAAGACTAGTTCATGTTGAAGTTTATTTGGATATCTGGTTGCATCATCAAGGTCAACATAAGACCAGGCATTACTGCGTAGCGGTCCAAGTTACCACAACTCATATCAGCACATCAAGTAAAAAGGCAATAAAATGGAAAATGAATGAAAGAAAATTCAGTCAAAAGAAATATAAAGTGCTAAAAGAGAAAGGAAGAATGAGAAAGTGGTGAGATTCTGTATAGCGTCGTGAAGATGAAGATAATGTGTGTATACATCTGTGCCACTGACTCCGGTTCTGAGCCATATCACCTAGAGTCTTCAACCATCGGTTTCTCCTGGCCTGTGGACCCCAAATACCGAGTAAGTACATCACCCTATTGAAGGCTCTTCATTCGAATACCTTTGGACGTGTCAAAGCCTATGGTGAGATATCGGATGAATTGTGTATGCCTAGTGGTGTCCGTCACGGATACCCACTCTCTCCATTCTTATTCAATCTTATCATAGATATTCTTATGGAAGTCTCCCTCTCGTCACCTGACTACACAGAGGTTAACCTAATCGCGGGAGAATTTTCATTAGACCCACAATACGCAGACAGCATACTTCTGTTAGGCGAAGACTCTGAAAAGATTTTTAGTCCTCTGGAGACATTGAGTGGCAATTTGAGAATGTTTGGAATGAGTTTCTCACCACGCAAATACAAATCGTTGATTGAGGACTGGTCTCCAACGGTGCTCCGATTAACAATGGAGAGTGAAGTGGTTGAGTGCGTTGAGCGCTTCACTTATATGGGAAGTCAGACCAGACCTGGTGCGTTGTTGGCCGATGAAATTTCTGCATGAATACGATAGGCTCGATTGGCTTTTGTCAACTTACGCCACATGTGGCGCCGTCGTGATATCCGTTTGTCTGTTAAGGGTCGCGTGTACTGCACAGCAGTCCGCTCTGCTCTACTGTATGGCTGTGAAACATGGTCACTGAAGGTGGAAAACATAAGGTTTCAGTTGCCTGACCATTGCTGCCTTCGTAGAGTAGACCGTGTTTCGTAGTGTTATCACATGAGTAATGCAGAAGTCAGGTGCAGAGATATAGGGAGGAGAGGTCAGTTGATGTAGTTGTGAGCCTTTATCGGCTGAGATGGCTGGGACATGTGTTACAAATCCCTAACCACCGCCTGCCTCATCGCACTTTGCCGAAGTAGGTTCAGGCTGGAGAAAGGCTTTGAATGACCAGACTAAAACATGGCATCACTGCATGAATTCCTTTACTTTTGATTTGAGCTATGTAGGGCGATGCAGACTAGCTGATTGGGGTCCGTGGGATGAGACTAGGTGATATGGCTCAGAATCGATGTCAGTGGCGCAGATACATGCTTACATACATTGTCCTCATCTTAATCCCTTTACTTATTCTCACCATCTTCTCATTCTTTCTTCCTCTCTTTTACTGCTTTTTACTTATGCTTCCTTTGATCGATCTTTCTTTCCTTCATGTTTATTTTATTGCATTTTAACTTGATGTGCTGATATGAAATGTGGTAACTTGGACTGTTACGCAGTAACGCCTGGCCCTATGTTGATCTTGATGATGATGGGACTCAAGAACAAAATACTCGAAGAAAAAGTAGGTTTCAGGTCTGAAAATGGGTAGGTCGATTACACGTTCTGCCCTCAGTCAGGTTTTGGAACACAGTTACTGGTGGTTGACATGGCATATTTCTTGACCTGAGGTTGGTATTTGACTACCGATCGGAAGATATTACGGAAGTATCTGATTTTGAAGGTAGTTCTGAGCAAGCATGTAATGCTTATCAAAGCTCTCTACTCGAACCCATACAGCGACGGGTAGGCTTATAGACGACAACTAGTATTGTCCACCAGGAATGCTCTCTATCAGCGTTCTCGTTAAACTTCGTCATAGACGTGCTAATGAACCCAGCCCTATGTACCTTTGGACTTACAAGAATTGATCTATTCCCTAGTAAGCATCTAGTCCGGTTGGAGTACGCAGACGCTATTGTCTTGCTGGGTGAAAACGCTGACAAAATCCAGGGTCTTGTTAACGCGTTGAGCGGAAATCTGAGTATGTTTAACTGGCGTGGGTTTTGCACCTATCAAGTATAAGATGATGCTTCAGCACTGATCTGCAACTACTCTCAGTTTAATGATAGGGAATGCGTCCATAACTTCACCTAGTTGGAAGTTGCATCAGGCCAAACGATCTGGTGGGTGACAAAATCTCAGCTCGGATACAAAAGGCCCGTTAGGAATTTACCAAATTGCTTCATTTGTAGCACTGACTGGCAAGATATCTGATTATGAATCAAAAACCGAGTACACTACACTACAATCTACTCTGTCTTGTTATACGGCTGATTCTACCATGAACAAGCAATGTTGCGAAAGCATCTACATTTGAAAACCTATAAATCTCCCAATGTCATTGTCCTACTTTAAACTGCACCGCACTTCGTCATGAATAATGCTTTTGAAGCATAGTGTGCTCTACCCATACGATTCACCAAAGGTTCACAATCTAAATTACTGATATGTCTTTAGTTCGGCGACTCTGAATTGAATATTTAGACCACTTAATCATATTTAGTGTATCTCGTTTGGTTTTTATAAGACTACCAATGCCATATTATCGATTTCATCTTTACCTCGCTTAATATTAACACAGTGTATGGTTTTTGTGTTGTTTTTTTGTCACGCTTTAAAGGCTTGATGCAACACTAAGGGAACTGGCTTCACTCGTTAAACAAGTCAATCCAGAATCCCGAAGACGAGGAACCTTATTTGATTTTGCTCTAGTTTTTCCAGATCATCGTTCACCAACGTATAGAATGCGTGAATTGGGTACAGTTTGTTCTGGTTCTCCATCGGATACTGATCGTATCATGTTGAAGGTAAGCGTTGTTTCCCATTACTTTGTAACAACACAGTGTATATAGTTTGATTCCTGTCAGGAAAGTTGATGAATATTTAACTAACTAAGTCCATCTACTAGTCTACATATGTTTTGACTCTGTAAGGTCCAAACGTTTTCTTGAGTGACTAAAAATATGCTGGACATGTTCCGGTTATTGTATTTAGGGACAGACTATTTACTTAAGTGTGTAAATAGAGGTAACTTGAGAGAACTATATGTTGTATTGCTTAGCAGTGCTTTGCACGACAATATTGTAAATGTCTAGCACTAACAATTAATCTTATCCTTATCCTTTTCTCATTACTAACTGTTTTAGCCTAAGTGGCTTCCTCAATAGGCATCTTAACTTCCTTTTCACTTGAACTTTCTACCATATGGTTGCATTTTCTCACCTATGGTACCGATACCATTGAGTTGCATACAGTATTATTCTAAATGCTCAGCATCAATTTCTCTTAATTGTCCTTTGGAAGTTTATTCACAGAAAATAGAAATGTTTTCTTCAATTGGTATAGTTTCAGCTACGAAAAACTGTCCATATGATATCAATTTGTGTATCATTTGCTTCCTCCTTCAGCAAAATAGGCATTTTACACTATACTTTTAACTGCTTCTTTTGGTGTAAGCGTGCATGTCTATGTCCCTTTTTTTGGTGTCTAACCATTTATTCATTGGCAATCAAATATCAATAGATTACTGTTATATTGTACCAGGAGGAGAATATAAACGTCGCATTTTTAAGCCAGTTCTTCATGATTAGGTATACGGCATTATGACTCTTCGTCTAAAGTCATTCGTTTATCCACTAATTTAAATTTGTACAGTTTCAACTCACTAATCTAATCACCTGACTTTCAATAGGTGGGTCATGTTAATATGAATGTATCAACTTTGAAATGTTAAAGTGAGGAGAATCAATCTCAGAATTCCAGATAACAACTAGCTAAACGCCAATTGTTGAATAGGTCAAACGTTAAAAAAAGCTAACAACAACATTTGAGCTAGAGGGGTTTCTGGATACTGCTATTTCAGTTTCTTACCGACTGATTTATGACGCGCTACAAACAAACAGTTTCTTCAGTATAGAAAGATAATCACACAACTTTATGGTCTGGTCTAGTTTTATTATTTTTCATTCTTTGTTTTAACTACACATTTGAAGTTGATGTTGCATTATTTCGAGTACACTTGTTGTTAGGCGTTAAATTGATGAACAGAGATTCAGTGATCAATTTGTCTCTACTTAAATACATTATATCTCAGAACTGTAAATCTGTCCCACCCTATTCTATGCGTGTGTGTTATTGCATGCATAGTTACAGCTGAAATCTTATGTAGATTACTCATATTGGAAGGGTCTTCCAATCTAGACATTTAATGCATTTAATAAATTAACATAAATCGCTCTATTTAAATTTGTGAAGGGAAAAGAATTGTATGAAAATTAATCGTGTTTTTCATCCTTTTTTAAATGAATATTGCCCAATTTTCGGTTCATTTCATATGAATTGGTTAGCCTAGATTTTGATTGGTTTCTAGTAAGGGGTATGATCGGACGTGCTAAATATTTAAATAGTCAATATATGGCGGCTGGTGGTTGTGGCTACCAGAAGAATCCAGGTCGCGCGTGGAACAATTCGATCCAATAAAACAACGGAGAATTACAAAGTATTTTGAGGGGGTTGTGCGGATTTGAAAATATTTCAAGTCATTATTCATCGTAGACTGACAATCAGTTGGAGGAACAAGGGAAACCTAGGAGCACTGGACTGCCGTTTCTTCCTAGTTTCTCCTCCCCAGTAGTGTGCACCCACGACCCCTCCAGGGATCGAATCCGCGATCTTCATGTTCCGTGGCCAGCATGTTACCATTGAGCCACTGGGTGAGAATCCAATTGTCCATATTTCCAACTTCTGTTAGCTCACGATATATTGCGGGTGGAACAAAGGGTGCGCACTACCGAAGAGTTCCATACTAGGACGAAACAGCTGTCCAGTGCTCCCAGGTTTCCTTTGTTCCTCCAACTGATGTCAGTCTACGATGAATAACAACTTGAAATTACAAGTATATCAATTCATAGTAATAACTACTATTTGTTGTACAAGAAGTGGCCATCATACCTCTGTGGCATAGTGAGTAACGCCTTGGCATTTGGAGCGATGTGTACGAGGTTCGAGTCTCAGTGTGAACAACACTACTCACTGCGGTGCATGTACATCTAGCCGAGGAGTCCCAAATAGGACGGAACGCGCGTCCTGGATTCTTCTGTTAGCCACAACCAGCCAAGTTGCCATTATTAATATTCAGGCAATATCGAGGCATCCGCATAGGATCCCATATGCCAATAGAGGCCGAACAATTCGGTCCAATAAACCACCGGAGAAATACAAGTATATCAGTAAATTATATATCTCTTTCCCATTGCAAACTTTTCTGTCTTAAGTAAACCAACTACAATACCTAGTCTCTTTTATAAATACAAGTTATTTGTGATGTAGATTAGTGGTATGCTTTGGTCCAATGTACATAGTATTCATCAGACACTGGTATCAGTTGGGGAACCACTGGTAGCACTGGACAGCAGCTGTTTCGTCCTAGTATGGGACTTCTCAACAGTACGCACCCACGACCCAGCTAGAAATTGAAGTCAGGATGTTCAGGTTAACCATTCTGCAACTGGGTCGGAGTTCAGTGATTTACAATTTCCGTCGCTTCGCAATATAATGCGACTATCATACAAGGTTTTCAGTTGGTGCCGGCTTCACTTGCGACTGGCTGACCTCACAGGTTCTCATTAGAACCTTGTATGTCACCACTAATGAGGGTTATACAGTGATGTATTTTGAGGTTGATGTAGATTTTATTTCTAAGGTAATATTCATCATTGGAAATCTGGAAGCACTAGACAGCTCTTCTGTCCTAGTACGGGAGTCTTCAACAATGTTGTAGATATTAAGTTTTCACTAATTGAATCACTATCCTGACAAACCTCTTATTTTGTTTTAAAATGTATTTTAATATTGTAATATCTTTTCACAGGATGTTCAATTTACAATTGGAGATATGATTGATGTGGCTATATGTCCTCCGTTAACTGATATAAACAATCCGTATACTAAGGATACGCCTTTATTATTGGAGTCTAATCGACGACTTTTAAAACAGAATCCTATCAACATTAAAAATCGTCGTCCAGATGAACAATATCGTGAGTACTCCAACAATAATAAGAATAACAATAGTGGTAATCATCTTGAACAAATGGATTCTAAATATCGTCGATACATGACCAATGCCAATGTTACATCAAAAGTTCGAGATAATACAATAATGAGTAAGGATAAAAATGAATTTGTTGGTAAAGAGTTAAAAGATAAGAAACCATATGATAGGTCATCCGGTGAAGAACGTTATAGTTATAAAATAAATGGACGTCGAGTTGTGCCATATTAGTTTACTGTTATTTAAGAAACATGTTTTGCATTTGTCTTGATAAATTATCCTCTTATTGTAAAGTGTATAATCAGTGTGTGTGTGTGTGTATTGTTGTAAATTCATTCTGTCACAATTCGATCTCTGTTTATATATGCATACTGTTCTTTCCTCTTTCTCTGTCGATAGCTTTTTGTGGTAAGACTGGAGGAGGGAGGTAGGGGGCAATACGTCACATATTATACATCGTCACCGGTAATAGTAATCTGGAAATGCTCTCTGTTATTATTTCATTCAGTGCTATCTTATACATTTTCTGTTATATCAAGTTCGTAATGGAGTATGTAGCTAAGGCTGTTTTTAATATATATCAGTATGGTAGATAAGTGATTGCGTATTATACGATAGATTGTTTGAGATTGGCAGTGTGTACAGAGGAGAGTTTAAATTTCCCGAAAGAGTATCATTTTCTACAAAATTACTCGTATATCTTGTTGATAAGTCCCTCACAAGCACAAAATTTCGCCTTAGGTACTCTCTGTTACTATCTTTATAGGACAAATTTAACATTTCATCTTATAGTAAGAAAAACATGATAGCAATTCTCAATTTCATGAAGCCTGACGTAATATTCAATTTGTTGTAGCTAGCAAGCTACTACGGAAAAGGTAATGCATTTTAGCACCCACGTCAGTGATGAGCCATACATTATACGATATCTGTAAATAGAGTCGAACCGATAACCCATTGGTTGAAATTCAGGTGCCTAGATCAATGAGTCACAGCTCCAAAAACTAGTGTTAAACTAGAGGTTAGTGAACCACTACACCTCTTATGAACTGATTCATGCGGAAGGAACTCGAACCATAGAGAGGAGAGACAGCAGCGTAAACCTTAACTGGTTAACTTGTTGTAATGAGTGCAAGGGCTGGTGGGTTGTGAGAGATGGTGAAGGGATCTACCCTAGGTTGTAGTCGGCAGTTATTTGGGAGAGTGGCAAGAAGACGACCATTAACGAGATCATCACCGAAAAGCATAGGTCTCAGAACAGGCGACTGGAACGCAAAGCTGGTCGTACTGGAGAACAGTTCAACTGGCTTGCAACTACCTTCCAGTTGCTTAACATCCAGTCCGAATATGAACACTTTGGATCTCCAACTCACTTCGCAGTTGAGAAGACTATTTCTAACCTGAAGTGATCCAAATAAACGAAGTGCTTCTGAGTACAGTGCTAAAGTATTTAGTAAGATAGCCGAGAGACTAGCTAGTGTATGAGAATCAAAAGTAGTCCCATCAGACTGGTACAGATCGCTGATCATTCCAGTTAATAAGAGAGAAAAGTCTTCGTGTCACAACTACAGACGAATCAGTTTGACTAAAATCATTTTTAAGCTCTTAAGGGGTCCATTGTCATCTGACACTTATTAGGGCTCTGTATAAAAAAGCAGATTTTAAACCTCAGTCGGTGTACCGATCTCTACCCCTCAATGGGTTTTGGAGCACGGGCATGCTGGTCATATTTTTTGAGCTGAAGATGGCTGTCGACTGGTAGGTAGCTGTTTTAGTATCTGACTGTGGAAGGAGTACTGAACAAGCACGTTTTGCTAACTAAGGCTCGCTTCTCGAACTCCAAGGGATTGGCTTACTACCCACAGGGAAACCTGACTGGATACACAAACGACAGTCTTGTTAGGCGATGTCAACGAGATGCAGTTTTCTGGGCATTTTGACATCCTTTTGCGTACCTGCCAAATGTAAAACTATGCTTGATGACTGGTCTGGACCGACGGCTAATTTAGAGATGCGGAATGATTTGACTAACTACTTATGAAAGGATGAGTACGCTGTGCAGCAGTCTGTTTTGTCTTACGACTAGATGTGGCCATAGGAATTGAAGAGAGGCTACGGGCTTTTTGATCACATCCTTGCAGCACAGCTGGTGCGTAGCCGATTCACTGTTCAGGCATTGTTCAGGTTACATATTACGTATTAAACAAGTCTATTGGCAAGGTCGTAAACTATCACCAGCTGAGGTGGACTCAGTCAATCAATATCACTACCCGGTTCGGCATTTCTGAAAGGATGTTCATCGCATCAATACATCAAAGTAGAAGGCAACAAGATGAAAGAAATAGGAGAGTGATCAAAAGTAGTGGGATAACAAAAAGAAGATAGGGGTAAAATAATAATTAGGATAAAATAGACTAGCATCGGAGTAAAACCTGGGCACTGGTAGATTGTCATTCCATTTCAGTCTGTTTATAAGACGTTTAACCTAGTGAAACAAAATTATTAATATAAGGGAAAAACTTAGGTACTGTGTTAGATTGTTTAGTTGATATGGCACACAGTATCATTTACTAGATGGTGTTTCGAGCAGAAGTTTATTGCTCATATTCATATCAAATTAATCATATGACCTTCTAACTTCCTATATATGGTCCAACAGTTCATTCATTGATTTTAACAGTGTGGATTCAATGAACAAAAATTCTGCGACCAGTCTCTTACATCACTTAGCTATATTAGATTTTAAAATTGTCACCCAGCCTATAGTATGATTATGGATCATTGCATGAAGAGTGATAGCCGAGTTTTTCTCAAAATTACTGATCTTAATTAGGGTCTACCATTGTATATTTTGCTAAATTTTTGTGTTCTGCTATTCTGACCGGTCCAAATTGGCTGTTTTGACCCAGATACTTGACCTCACAATCATTACATGGTATTTGATAGATTAGGTTACTCCTCCCAATTGCCTCTACTGTGTCTTTTGGCCTACAACGTTTCTCTCTGAACGAGTCTAGGGCTTTGAAGGCCACCCTAATCCCAGGATTGTTAAGAATTCTACGTAAAATTTCCGATATACCTTCTTTACACGGCGACATCACAGAGGATTTGACTTCCCTCTTAGGCATGTTACCCGATTACTCAAACATCTTACCAGGTCTACTTTGACAGATACAGAGTGAAATGATGTAACATCCAAGTATATATTCAAATGTATTAGTTTGCTACAAACACTGGTATCTAAGCTTCGATCTTCTCTCCTTTTGATTTTACACTCCAATGTTGGTAATTATCCTTCATTTTCTAATTCATAAGTGAATCGGAGTGCATCTAATATCGAGTTGATGTGCGCAAAAAAAAACTGGATGTGTTCGTATTTCAGCACAGTAAATGTGTCATCTACATATCACCAACATAATTTCAGGGTTGGGTTGGAATATTCCTAATGCTATTTGTTCCCAACTGTCCATAAACAAATAGCATTAGAAACATTTTAACCCACCCTAAAAGTATAGAGGTGGAGATGTGTAGTAGACTAATTTATTGTGCTGAAATCAGAACACACCCAGAGTTTTTTTCGCATACATTAACTTGATAGCAGATGCAATCCTATTCACTGATATAATGATAAACCCTAATTAAGATCAGTAATTTTGAGAAAAACTCGGCTATCACTCTTCATGCAATGATCCATAATCATACTATAGGCTGGCTGACAATTCTAAAATTCAATATAGCTAGGTGATGTAGGAGATTGATCGCAGAATTTTTGTTCACTGAATCCACATCTAACACATATGTTACAGGAATAACTCATGAAATATTGCAGATATATGGGAAATTCTACTACCATTAAAATCAATGAATGAACTGTTGGACCATATATAGGAAGTTAGAAGGTCATATGATTAATTTGATATGAATATGAGCAATAAACTTCTGCTCGAAACATCATCCAGTAAATTATACTGTATGCAATACCAAATAACGTTTCCGGACATAATTTATTGTCCATATTTATATAAGATAAATAAATTATGTCCGAAACTGTTTTACTGTGTGATACATAATAAACAGACTAAAATAAAATGATGAAATCGATTCTGAGCCATCTCACCTACGATCAGCAACCGCAGATTTTGGTTTTCAAGCGGTAGCCGCATGCCGAGCAACCAGCTAACTCGACGGAGGATGTTATCTGAAGTAGGATGAACAAGTTAGAAAGTTGAGGGTGATCAGAACAATACCTGTTTTTAAAAATATCTGTCCTATCTAAGCTGCTTAGGATTGTTGAGGTCTTAAGAATCAGCCATTGGGTATACACAATTTGAACTCGGTCACAAAGTGGCAATCTCACACAGGCTGTCAAACATTTTAATGGGTGCGTTTGGTTTCCCATCCATTTCTACAATACAAGTATGATCTTACGACTCATATAATATGGACACATCTCAATCACTGCAAAAAACTTAGTCATCCTATACGATCTGTTTTAATTGTTCGTGGGATGTCGACTTAGCTTTGAAAGAAACAAAAGACAGGTATGCAAGAAGGAATGTTTATTGTAAACAAGTGGGACAGTAGTCGTTAAATAAGGTACACCTTGCATTAAGACCGTCATTTGCAAAATGTGGTTCATTTATTCTTCCGCTTCTTTCCTTATTTGCTCTTCATACGCCCGCCTTGTCTCTTGGCGGAATCCTCACCCACTGCTGGTAATTTCCTATAATTTTCCCCACCCTCTCAACATATACTACTTATATCCATTCTTATCAGCAACGCACACCACACTGGTCCCCCCCCCCCCGTCAAAATTTCGCACTTGCAACCATGTTGATCGTCTTTTTGCTGTTTTCTCTTCTTGTTTTTGCAAAGTCTCATCTCAATTTCCGGACATGACACCGAGAGACCTCAACTACTGGTTCTTTACGTCTTAGGGACCCTAATCGGGCGGTCTACATCGCACCACATCAACAGTAAGAGACTTCATTAACTGGTCTAAGTCCGACCATTTTGAATCCTCTTTTAACCTAATACTATTTCCACTAGCATGGCACTTCGAGGTAGGCGGTGACTCGAGAAGCGCAGTTAATGTCCCAGCTACCTCAGTCGATTGAGACTCACAACCACATCAATCAACCTGCACTGTCCCACATAGTTCAAATCAACAGTCAAAGGCACTTCATACACTGATGCCGTTGTAGTCTGGTCACCTAGAATCATTTTCCAGCCTGAAATTACTTCGGCCAACATTATGTGACGAGGCGGATGGCAACTAGGCACACATAATACATGTCGGAGCCAACCATCTCAGGCTACAGGATTCTCCGTGAAATATTCCACTCGGTGAGTTGCGGAACCAGAAATGCGAGTCCTTCAATCGTGTGTTAAACATGCAA